CATTGCAATGGCCACACAGAACTCAGGCACCACACTCAGAGTTATAGGGTTATCAGGGATGCTAACAGGTTACAATTCCACTTTAGAACTGTTCAGTGCTCAGTTCTTTCATTCAGCACAGTCTCTGGCAACCAAGCCTGCAGACGGCCTCTCTCTGCTCCTTGGACTCTTGGCTTCTGCCCTGGTCCAGCAATGTCACAAAGCTCTTTTAGGACTGCTGATAAATGCCCCAAAGCACTCAACTCCACTGTTAAACTTCATTCCCAAAGCTCTCAGCTCTAGTTCTGTGGGTCAGCAAACCTAGCTCCCCAGTAAAGTTCCTGGAGGCACCCCACTCCACAAATGCTTCTCCTGCCTGAAGGCACTCAGCTTTACTTGTTTGTGGACCAGGAAGCCCACCACGCTGTCATGTGCTCTAGCTCCTGTTGTTGCTGCTGTTGCTCCTCTGATATTACAGCTCTGCCTCCCGGGTTGAGGATGAGGATTATCATTATCTTCATTGTACACATAAGGAATTCGGAGCACCTAGCCCAAAATCTCATATGAAGTCTGATCACAACACACACATAGTTAACTATTTTATTGTAGTAGCTATTGTTAGCATTGTCATTATTAAGACTCAAATGTAACCCAAACCAGGTCTTTCTAACCCAAAAGGTACTGGCCAGTCATTCAAGAATACCTTGGAGCTTGAAAACCCAACTCATTTCCTTTGACTTTATTCCCTTGAGGATCCTGGTTGAAGTTCTCTCTTCTTCCTGGGGCCCCTCAGTTCCCTTATTTCCTGTACCTACCAGAATGCCCTAACTTTACATTGGCCTTTGTTCACTGTACTCTTTCTCCCCAATCCCTTTGGAAATCAAAATCTTGGATATCACAGGTGCAAAATTCATGTGTTTCCAGGTGTCAATGAACACAAGAATAGTTGGTTAACTGGAAGAACTGGACCTAGAGGCTCCAATGTCCTTATTTACTGGACCTCCCAGAGTTCCTCAGATTTATTGTGTGCATTTTCCCCAAAAGACTTTGAAAGTCAGTGTCTTGTACATCACAATTGGCTAATTCACATGCCTTAAATATGTCAGTGAACACATTTGCAGGTGATGCCCAGACTGATTCACTAGACCCTGGGACAGAGAAGGTAGATGACCATCCCATTCACTCACCAGTCCCTGGCAGGCACTGAGGGCTGCGGTCCCAATTCTGGTACCCTGATGCAGAACTGTGCCCTTGAGATGGCAGGGGGGCCCAGAGGAAGCCACCATCTTAACATGGGAGAGGTTCCCGTATCGCCTCTCCACAATGTAGTCGTTGGAAAGAAATCCCTGATGGGCTGTCAAGTTAAAGAACAGGTCCTTCTCCTCATGTGAAATCCTGTAGTATACCCAGTCATCTGGGCCATCCAAATCTCTCTTCCTCCTGCTGCTGGGAATGGTATGGTGCAAGCCATAGGATATGAAACGCCCACTCGCATCCACCCGGACAGGACCCACCACTTGGTACTCGGGCAGGGTCTGGATAAAGCGTTCTGAAAGAAAAGACGACATAGGGTAAAATCAAGAGGGGGCCATCCAAAGTTTACAGCAAGGCAAACACACATTCATTTGAACCTTAGATTCCACCTAGTTGACTTCCGTGTAAAAATCCTTTCCACCATACAAATACGGCCGTGGTGGTGTGCCACCAAGTCGGTTCCAACTCAGAGTGACACTGAATAGGGTTTCCGAGACAGTAAATCTTTATGTGAACAGAAAGTCTCATCTTTCTCCTGCCAGGAGACTGGTAGATTCAAACTTGCTGACCTTGTGTTTAGCAACCAGCTCATCATCTACTACGCTATGAGGGCTCCTTATACAAATATGGCAAACACCTAATTCCCCAAACAACTCAAATACACACAGCGCTCTCTCAAAGCAGTGTGGTAGGGATTTTGCCACAGACACATTAAAACAAGAATTCAATCACTAAGAATACCATCAAGAATGGGTCAAGGTCAGCCTTACAAGCAGAAACACTTCAAGTCTTAAAAAAACAAAA